TTTCTAGTCTCTGATGTAGGACTGAGTACATAACTTCTTCATGTGAAGCACATCAGATTCCAGAGACTCTGTAAAACATTTTTCATCCTCCTGTAAGAATTTACCTCCCAGTTGCTTTCTACCAGCACAGGGACTGTCTCCAACACACACTCACGAACACAATTTTAATCTCCACATTAAAAGCATGACTCACCACGGCTTTTTCTAACTGCTCAGCTAACACAAGTGACAAAGCATTGGTGTTGATCCCAGTAACAGGGCATTTTTAAATGGTGGAAGGCAAAAGGAGAAAAAAAATTAGCTCAGTTTTAATTGTCTTTTGTACAATCAAAAGAGTAAATCAGCCTGTCTTCTCTAGGACTCAGTTTACAGTCAGAAGGCAGGATAGCTAGCATGTGTGTGTTACGCACAAAAAATAACACGTGTTTAAGATCCTGAGTCACTGACACCAGGTTCAACTCCTGCTGCTGCAAAGAGCCTGTGGAGGTACACCAGGGAAAGGAACTACACGGACAATGCACCACTGACTTGATACCACCTCGGCCCCAGCATTTCCACCTCAGCTCTTTCCAGGTTTGACTGCTTATGAAAGACAGATATATTGTCCCTGTAATTTGTTCCTCCATCACTCCCCTCCAGAACGGTGCAGCCCATGGTCCCCAAAGGGGACAAGCTGCCATGGTATCACTGAACTTTCCTCCTGGGAGCTACTGGCCTGACCTACTTTCATCTGCAGGATAGACTAAAGCACCACCAGCACTGATGCAGTTCAATATGTTTTCAGAAAAAAATCCAGTTATCTCTTCCTCTGTACAAACACAGCCTTATGGACACTATTAGTGCTGGTTTGTGTTTTGGTTTTTGTTGGGGTTTTTTTGTGGGTTTTTGTTTGTTTGTTTGTTTGTTTGTTTTTGTGGGAAATGCGTTACTGGTACACGAAGTATGTGGATGAATTACAAACAGAAGGTCCTTCTGTTCTGCTGACACTATCCCTCACCTATTCCTTCTCTTCTGCTTAAATTCTGCCTTGCAACTTAGCAGTGAGCCAATGAAAGATCTCATTGCCAGAATAAGAATCATAGTTAGATCTTTACCTTCAAGTCAGGCCTCCTCAATTCATAACAAAAAATTCAGGGTTAAGTCTCCTCCTCTGCTTAATTCAAGTCATATCCTTCAGCCCAAATTGAACATGGGGCTGCACCAGGAGAGAGGAAGAAAAGAGTGTCAAATCCAAGACTCAGATACTTTATCATTATTATCATAGTAAAGCTTTATGTACAGGCACCGAGGATCTTAAATTAAATGTCAAATATTATCTGGCACCAGGAACATGAAATATAGTCACCTACAGGGAAAAGGAGCCTGACAGCTTTGGTCTGCTTGTCAAAACAGCAGTTGTCTCATTCAGCTCTTCGGGCAAAGGAACCACTATTTGCCAAACCAGAAGTTATCAGGATCAGCTCACTGATTCCTACCAAAAAGAGGTGCTCGTGATGGTAGGGACTAAGGGTAAATTTTAAATCCTATTCAGGTGTTGAGAAGATTAATTTCTCCACTGGCAACACTGAAACAAAAGAAGATACAGAGATGTCTCAAATTTTTAAGATTTTTTTTAATTGAGACTGAAACAAGATCAGTGAATCTTCTCCCCTTTCAGCTTGCCTGTGTCTTCCTCACCAGTTAAACAAAATAAATGCCCTGAGCTTACTTCCCTCTCAGCCTATCCAGCAACTGTTGCTGCCTATTTGAACAGGCTCCAGAAAGCTTGCCAGCTGAAGCTTATGAAGTCTAGTTAATTGCTTCAGCATATTCATTTCATGTTTGTATGGGAAAACATATAATTGGAGACACCCCTAGCTGAGTAGCCCTCCAGTGGCTGGCACTGCAGCACAGCCATGCTGTAAACCCTGCCTGGTGGAGAAAAAGGTGGGATCCTCTAACACAGCAACTACCGCTGTGTCCGGAGCAATGAAAAACCCCAAACTTCCCAAAGCCTACTGCATTGCTGCAAAGGTACGTTACTAGGTATTGCTGATAATCATGAAGATTTTAGAAAATGTTGCACCAAACGGAGAAATTTGGCTTTCAGAAAAGTAAAATAATTTAGATATCAATAACTTTTCCTGATTCTTCATCAAGGAACATTCTGTTTCCCCCCCCCCCCAAGGAGTGCAGACCTCCCAGTGTATGGGGAGCAGGACTAGGACTGCAAGCCAGAGAGGAATATGGAGAAAACAGGAGGTCCCAACTGGCACAAGTGGGCACACATGCATGCCTAAACACGTGCTGGAAAATAAATGGCAATTACATCTGCCTCCTTCATGCATCAAATTCATCTTAAGTGGGGGTCTGGTCAGATTGTAACACCATGGTCATGCTTGAATGTGCAGAGCCCAGGAATAAGAATTGCCATGCAAGACACAAGCAGAGAGAGGTACAAATTCATTCTTGAAATTTTTTACTGAAAAAAAAAAATCTTCATCCACACCAACACAAGCACAAAGTGGGAGCCTGCTGAAATCAAGCACAGGCATGTTATCTGCAGGAGGAAGTGAAAGAGCGGATGAAAATATTAAAGTAGAAAATAAAATAAGTTTCCACTGTGAAACTTCTGTTTCGGTGCTCACATGGTTAAACAATCTTTCTTCTCCCAGCCCACAACATTGGAGATGCTAGTGATGAGGAAGAAAAGTTTAAGATATGGAGAAAGAAATTCCAAGACGCGCTGGCTGATAGTTATGAAAAAGAGAGTTTGGTGTAATTGGACTTGACACAGAGACAAAAAGGATAAAAACCTCTGTGTTATCAAGTAATTGAATCATTGTCAATGCATGTTAAGGAGTTTTTAACCCCTTTTTCATTTATAAAAATCCATAGTTATCTTTCCCTCATGTTCTACCTCTGTTTCTATTGGTTAGCCCCTGCCATAATACAGATTCCCCATATAAGGTTGTATCTATCCCATTCTCTCCCTATATGGTTGTAACCCCTCCTATACCTTTCCTTGCATATAAAGGTTCCCTCTTACACATTCCTTACTTGTGCTGAACACACCCATATTTCCAGAACCATCCCTTCTCCCCCTACAAATAGAGGGATCCATCTTGAATAAAGGAGACCTCAATCCTGCTCAAACCCTGTAGGTTGTCATGTGTTTACTTCCCAACTGCAACAGAAAGTGCTAAAAAGGCTCTTTCCAGGATGAAGATTTACGAGTTTTAATGTCTGCAAACAAGACCTGAGCACGTTGAACTCCAGAAGGGACTCGGGACCCACTCTGCTCCACGGTCATGAGGCAAAACTGCTGGCTTTCACAGCTCTTCAATTAAAGAAATAAAAGGCAATTTTGAGTATTTAAGGGGATGTTGTATATCCAAGTTGTAGCAGAGAATGGAAAAGCTGTGAGACTTGTAGGAGACAAAATCATAAATTTTCATCTACCCTTTGCAGAGCTCTAATGTTAATGCTAAAAATAACTACAGCCACCTGCAGGATTTCAGCGTTTGGATTAATCAAGTCTTACGGAGTTGGGGGTGGGGTAAAGCGCTAGAGGAACAAAGGGCAGAAGGATTTCAGGACCTGAGAGTACCGACAAGGATGTTGCATCCAGAGAACAAGCTGCCGTTTGTTCCTGGCTAGGGCAGATGTTCCATAAGGATTATAGCAGGGGAAGGAAGGCAAAAAAAATGGGGCAGGCATAAAAGCACATTGAGATATGGGTCAGGCTAGACCAGAGCTGTCAGCCTTCCCTAACCATAGTATTAAAGTTTAATTAGTCTGAGATCTCTTATAAGCCAGGATAACCTATCTAGGAGCAGCATGTCTTCAGACACAACTTTCCTCCGTGGCCTTTCACATGTCTAGCTTTGGCTTGCCACTGCTACAACTTCCACATTTGATGCAAACTTCACAAACACTGAAGCGTGCAACTCAGCAGCTCTGAAGGGCAGAAACCACCATTGGGCTCCACAGGAAAACACGCTGAGGGTTAGAGATGGGAAAGACAAGTAACTTGTCTTGTCACTCTAGTCTCTGGATTATGCTATTATTTCATCCTGTTCAATTAATATCAAAAGAAGGCAGCTAAGCTTCTGGTGTCTTCCTGAAGAGAAGATTATTACTGACTTTGAGGTTTGGGCCTTTTTTGTAATGTGCGATCCCTATTTGTTTTTCCTTACAATCATGAAAATCTTCTTGTACCAAATACTGTAATCTGAACACTACCAATATGCTTTATTTTACAAATATGTTGTGCATTAGAAGCCATCTCTCTCCTTTTAGGGTCGATTATAAAATGGTACTACTAGACAGTGGCTTTGCCCTGTAGCTTTCTCTCTCTTGATGCCTCAGTGGAAAGTCCAAAGCCACATCAGTTGATACTTTCACTTTGGGATTTTGGTTAACAAATTAGGATTTACACTAGCTGTAACCATTGATGGCTCTTGCTCCAAAGTCAGATAGAGGATCCAGTACTCCAGATGTTGCACCTTCTCTCCTATTTACAAAAAGACCTTACAGAATGATTTGTTGTACTCACCCCTCCTCTCTGACATTGCATGAAAAGCTAAGAACAGCTTTGAGTTCTCCATGATGCTCCAGTGTGACCCTAGCTACAGCCTGGTAAAGTCTGGACCTTTCATGTGATACTTGTCCAAAGCCATTCTATAACAAAATCTAGCCATTAAGGTAAACCCTGAGGCAAAAGCTCATTAAGTATTTGTCTGCAGTTCAGAGAAAAACAAACAAATAAAACACAAAACAACAGCAAACCCCCACATAACAATTAGATGTTTGTAGTCAGAAAACTGAGGGTGAAAATACGACTTAATACTAAGCACATTCGAAGCCCGCTTTCTGTGGTTTTTTGATTGGCAGTCTTAATTAGAGTTTAATGCAATGTTCATATAGGCATTAACAATGCACTGAACTTAGATCAAGGAGAATGAAAGGCAACAGCAAACAAGCAAACGCTCAAACAAGCAATCACTTCTGTAACTTACTTTTGGGTCTGTGAACTTGAACTTTAGCCTTTCCACCATCTCCAGCCTGAACAGGTTCCACACAACAGGCTCTGTTCTGTAAGGATGGGGAGCAGAGGGCACGAGACAGCACTCATTTCAACTCTACAAAGCACAACAAAGATTCTCAGTAAACAATGGGAGGCAGCAATTTTTCAGCTTATTCTATCAGCCAAGTTGCAGCAAAACTATGAATACATTAGCCTGCCCTTGTGGGACTGCTTTTGTTCAGTCAAAAGGACCAAGAAAGAATGGGAAAAAAATGAAAGCAAGCATGAATTGGGGGGGAAAAAAAAAAAAAAAAAAAAAAAAAAAAAAAAAAAAAAAAAAAAAAAAAAAAAAAAGAGGAAAGAAAAGAAAAAGGGAAGAAAGAATAGCTGCCAAGTGAACTGGGAAACCTTCTAGAAAGAAAATTAAATGTAATTGCACAGGCAATTCATTTTTCTCATGGTTTTTTTGCATCCTTGTTAATGAAGTCAGGCTATGAGAGATGTTCCTTGATGCTGTACTGCCACTGCCAAAGTCACTGGCTCAGGAGCTTGTGGGGGTCACTCATTCTTTGCAGGCATAGGTGTTAAATTTGCTTTTCTAGGATGCACACTGAGTGCCTGATGAATTAATACTCTGCATATCTATTTGGATTTACTTATAAATGGGAACAGAGATTTTAAAAGTACTAATTAAGGAAGCAATCAAGGATTCAATCTTCAGGAGAGAAAATGTGAAGTATGAGGCACTTAACGAATACCTGAAATATTTGTTTAATTCGCTTCAACAACTCCCTGCAAAAAATTATTGCTCTTATTTGAAAGGCAGCAGCTTGTTGACAAATGAAAGAGTTGAGGCAAAGTCTAATAAAAGCTTATCCAGGAGCACTTTCTGATTTCATCTATAGCATTTAACAGAACAGAATTCGAAAAATGTCCTGACACTTTGCTAGAGGGAGGCTTATATAACTAAACCTTGATTCAGATGCTGACTTCCAAAATGTCAATCCCCAACCTCCATCTAAAGACGCTTCAGTGTCTACCAACAAAATACTCTAGATATTGGGTTTTTTCCTCTAGCAAGGAGACTGCCCAAGTCTCAGAGACCAAAAAGCTTGGCAGCAGCCTTGCACATTGTTTCCCATCTAATTCATTCACTGAACCACTCTTTTGCCTTTGCCACAGGCAGACCACATGTAAAACAAAATGAAGCAATGCTTTCATGATCCCCTTGTCTTGTGTAGCCAGCACCCTTCCAACAAAGGTCAGGCTCAGATGCTCTCTGCTTGATAGACCTGAAGCCAGGTCCTCTCAAGGGAAGCGATCCAGCTCTTGGTCTGCTGGCCCCTCTGGGCAGGACTCAGTATCTCCTTGTCTCTGCATAAATAATTAGACAGAATAGAGAAAAAGGAGAAGATTCATTGCTGTATATTCCAATATGAACCAGGTGTTCTCCTTGGCATGGAAGCTTAAACTACATATTTCTCCTAAGTATCTCATGAATCCACATTCTGGGTTTCCTAAATCATTGTCTCAGTAACTGTTCTTACATATAACAGGGGAAGCCTAGGCCCTAAATCAGAAGAGTATTTGATATTATAATAGTTGGCTGATGACTTCAAAGCTGGGAGATGTGAGACTAAGGTTCTTTGCCAAATCTAGCCCCTCACAGATACCACTCTTGACAAATTCCCTCTCGTTCACACAGTGAAAAGCAGGAAGACTGCTGGAGGTCCTCTCTGGGTTTTTGCCCAGTAATCCAGACAACATTTTAACAAAACAACTGGATTTGCTGTTATTTTTGCTTTATCCTGATACCACCTTCTACCATGGCTCACCAGGAACAAGAGGTTGCTACACCAAACAGGCATCATCTGCTCTCAGGCATGTTGGCTCTTACCCCCACTCACAAGAGAAACAAAGAAGTGGTGTAGACATCCTACCTCGCCATGGTTTCAACCTTCCAGGGACATGTCACAGCACTAATGAGGGTGGTCAATGCTAATACAGAAGCCTTCCAAAGTGAGTGTGGGGCAAAGATCAGGCTAAACTAAGTGTAATACCGTAGACAATGAGAGGTGGGAAAGAAGATCACCTCCAAAGGGCACTCATGGCTTCCAACAATACAACCAATAATGTGGGGATTTTTGGATGCACCTTGACTGACGCTAACAAAACTCCTTCTGGTGCAGGTGAATGCTCCCTTACCATCCCACCAATTACCACTACCTCAAGACACTTTTAACTTCATGGTACTCATCCCACTGCTGAGGGCCCTTCTAAACATCATTTACCAGATGGTAACAAAACAAAATCAAATCCTATTTCACACATATTTGGATTCTGGTGCATGGAAATGAATGAATTTTCTCTGCTCCTTACCCACCTTTCTTGCTCTAAGTCTCATGATGGTTCTGGAGTGCCAATCACTAGACCTCCTAGGTACTGCATCCTCCACTTTGGACAGCACAATTATCACTTGAGCAATCAGCTTGTGACATAACAAGCATAAACAGCAGCAAGAGATAAAAATCAAAAGCCACAGTGTTTTCACACAAGTGCCCCAAGTTGCCAAGCAAAAGAAACCATAATCTTATACTAAGCTGGCAGGATTTCTTCCAGAAACTTTTTTTTCCAAGCAGCATCAGTGACAAGTGACCTGAGGGACTGGTAATACTCAAGATGGAAGGCAGAATGATCTAAACAAGTCAAGAAGCATCCTGGTAGTCCATTAACATCCCCACGAAGTGACTGATGCAGGTGGAAAACAAGAACATTTTTCCTTTTTTCAAGAGACACTGCAGACACTGAGCATGAAATCCAGAGACAAATGTATAAGTTCCACCCGACTCCAGCTTCAGCCACGACCTGGCTCCACTTCAGCAGCTCTGCAGCTATGACCACTGAGCAGCGTGGGGGCACCCACTGCACTTTTGGTTTCCCTTGCTATATGGCTCTTCTGCAAGACGAAATACTGCCCCAACTGGTTTGCATTACTGTTCTCTCTAAAGGAAGCATTCATAAACTAATAAGTGAGCGCAATGGCAACATGCAGGGATACTTCTTCTCAAGGACAGGAGGCGAGCCCTTTAGGCTTAAACACACATTATAGACAATGTGATCTATCCCAGTGCTAAAAAAATCTCAGCCGTTAAAGCCTTTGCAGCCTGGACAAAGCCAACAATTTGAATTACGCACAAACACTAATCCATCTTATTTGGCTTTCACTTAACCCACCCTCTCTTCACACAGCAGGAAGCCTACCAGCTACTAGATGTTGATGCTCTCCTGCAGAGCACTTCTAACAATTTTACCTGAGTGTCCTCAGCCATAGGCCACCTCACACATATACAGCAAGGAACCAAGTACGTGGGAGGGTGTCAGCAGGACACATGATGAACACATGCTTGCTAGCTTATTTCAAGAAAAATAGTTCTCCGAGGAAATAAAAGCTTTTGCTAGCATGTATTAATCTTGTCACTAATGGAGATGGGAGTATAATGATTAGATGTGGGTATATATAAATCAGTAGCATTCAATTAATTTAACCTGTGTACATTATTATTTAAGTAAGAGTCAGCACAGATCGAAAGCAGGTTATGCACAACTTCCAGGGAGGGGAGAGGGAGAGGGTGGGGCACAACGTGACAGAAAGTACTGTCGGTAATCTCACTGCAACACCAAGCCCCCCAGAGATCACTGTGCTCCAAACCAGACTCCAGAAAACACCTGAAGGGCTCAAGCATCAGTATATTCTTTTAGTAGCAGCTTGAACCAAAGCACAAAATATAAAAAGGGACACTTGCCTCCTCCTCAAAAAAAACACACCTCAGCTAACCTCGCTTCTCCCTGATTTTCTGGAGTTCTTGGCTTGCTTAATGCTAAAGACAGACATGGAAAAAGAACAACACAGTTATATAGCAATCTTGCTTGTAAGAATGGGTCTGGGGTGTGACACTTCCCTTAGAAAAAAGAAAAGCCGTGATCTTCAGGATCAACTAAAGTATTAAAGAAAGAACACAGCCTACTCCCTAGATGAAGACTTGAAGTTAACATTTCTTCCATTTCCCCAGATAATAGGGGAGCCTATTCCTCAGAACCACTTTAATATGCCCGGTTTCCACTGGAGTCACAACACACCCTGGGAACAAAACAGGAGCTGTTTTTATAAATCCTGAAGACGGAAATCCCTAATTTACATACAAAATATGCTAAATCA